AAAAAAAAAAAACAGCCTCTTTACTGGGGAAAGGAGGAAAGACAGCTCCCTCATTTGTTTAGTGCACAATAAATTATTAGATTCTGCTATGCTGAGGTGCAAGATGGACAACCCACAGGATGGCGAGCAGGAGTCCTGAATATTCATTCCCCTGCCCCCAATACTGCACTCTTCAGAAGCAATGCCCAACCTCCGGGACTAGAGAATAGAAGAAGCCCAAGGGTCTGCTTTATTTCAAGCTTGGGAACAGGTTGCACTTCTTGCAAATCTGGAGGGGCAGCATGTGAGTCAGAGAGGTACTGTTTATGGCCACCAGCAGCTGCAGCTTTCCCAGGCAGTCCTGCAGCGCTGTCTCTGAGTGTTCGCCCAGGCGCAAGTCCACCGGGTGTGGAAGCCGCAGCATGCGATCTGCTAGCGCTAGGCAGCAGATGGCCAGCAGGGAGGGAGCATAGCTAGAGAAGGCATAATCAGCCAGGCTTAGCTCAGCCACCCCCCGCGCCAGGGTTTGTGCTTCCAGGGCTTCGGAGACTTCAGCCTGTCCGGCCTCCACGCGGGTGTGAGTGAAATGCTCCAGGAAGAAGCTGATGGTGGGGGCACCCAGGCTGAAGTGCAGCTTGTGCAGCACGATGCATTCGAGATTGCAGAGTTGCTGCCGGGAGAAGGCTCCGCAGCACAGGGCCAGAAGCTGTTTCACGCGTGGTCGGTGCACCTCCACCTGCAACACAGTGTGCATTCATCCCCTGCCTCTCTGCTTCCAGGGCTGAGGCTTTACCAGTCTGAAACCCAGTAGAAAACTGTGTCTCCCCATCATTCCTTCCAGAGACAGAGCCTGGCTTAACCTTTCCACCACTCCACCTAGTATGTACTTCCAAAGTAGCTTCTCTACTGTTTGACTAAAAACAAGGTTTGGGAATTTTTGAGCCTGCTCCCCGACCCGACTAGAACAGAGGTGCCACAAATCTTTTGGGGATTAACTACGACTTACTTCTTGGGGGGCTGAGTGAAAGGATTCTTGGTTTATAGGAGGATCATGAAGTTAAGGCTTAGAATCTATAGATTCGCAAGCCTCTGGCAAAAGAAATCAACACACTGAAACCTTGCGCTGGAGAACCGGGTGGCCAGAGAATGGAAGGGAGTTTGGCTGCACCCGAAGCCCCATACCTCGTCAAGATACCTGTTTGCAAGCGATAAGCAGAGAGGTGACTCCGAGCAGCTGGAAGCAGTCTGCAGCCACTGGTGTGGTGGTGAGGAAGCGGTCCAGAGTGTTCACTGTCAGGCACAGTGACTCGAACGAGAGGCCGAATTGGCGGTGCACTGGGATCAGCCAGCTGAGCAGTTTACAACGGGATTCCGCAGTCACCTGCCGAGAGGGAGGAGGAAGGCGAGGAGGCTGAGCCTAGAGCTAAACTGGGGGGAAGTGGGGGCGGGGAACTCCAGAAAGGAAGGGTCAGGTCGGCCCAGGGAACTTTCCCCAAAGAAAGCGAGAAGAGGAAAAAGCTAAGTGCCCTAGAAACTGAGAAACAGGAGGGCAGTGCCGCTGCGGAAAGAGGGCTGGACTGCTGAAAACCGAAAAGTTTGGATTCGTGCCCGGCGCTGTACCAGCTCGGCATACTCATTGCCTCGAGTAATCCTCTCAGCAATTCGATGGAAGGTAGGGGTGGATGAGAAGTCCATTTTGCAGACGAAGAAACGAATTTAGGATTGTTAAGTAAATTGCCCGAGGTCTGTAGGAGTTCGGGCTCAACCCAGAAACTAACTCCTTTGCACTCTTCACTGCCCCATTAGTTTGAAGACTTGCGGCAGGTCACTTAAGCCATCTACTTTTCTCCCACTGTAAATTGAGGACCGTGACCTGGCCCTGGAAGGCCTCTCTTGCTCTGCCTGGGGGGCAGGGACTGAGATGCGCTGCTCACGGCGCCGCGAAAGGTAAAAGCAGAAAAGGAGAGAGCCTGGGAGAGCAAGAGCAGCGGCGGGGGACTGGCTGTGCCAGCGCCTCACTTGTGGCTGCCTCGCCAGAGACTCCCGCGGATGGAAGCGGCTCTCCTGAGCCTTACGGAAAGCGTAGCAGCTCTGGCCGTAGTCCCGGAAGGTTTGTAGATCTAGCGGCTCCAGCGGCCGGGCACGACCCGGCAGGGGGCTACAGTCTCGCGCCACCGACTCGGCGGGGCTGTCTGCAAGGTCCGAACCGGAGCTGGGAGACTCGAAAAGGTCGCAAACTCCGGAGTCTCCTCGGGGCGTGCAGGGGTTCCGGGGCTGAAGCGGCTCTTTCCTCCGGAGGCGCGGGCGCCTGTTCTTCTTCACGGGGGCTCGAAAATTCTGGTTGTTCTCTAGCCTCCCTGCTCCGGCAGAGGGGCTGGTGGGGCAGGGGGTCACCATGGCGTAGCCAGGTGGCCGCTCTACTACCCCCAACGCCCGGGCTGCGGCAGGCTGCAAACGTACGCACGACAGATACGCGTGGGGAGGCCGGGTCCAGTGGCTGGTGCGGTCCTAAGTAGTCCACCTGCCCCTTCCCTGGACCACACCCCCTGGCTCCTCACTGGCTAAGCCCAGAGCGGCACCAGAGCCGCGGCTGAAGAGCCACTCCTCTCGGAGTTCTAGCTGCGCGTCGCCTCCGCGTTCAACTGAGCTGAGCAGGCGCTACTCACGCCGCGCACCCGCCTTCCGCCGCCGGCTCGCGCGCGTCCCGAGTTACCTGGGCAACCAGAGCTCGGCTAGTGGCGGTAGCTGGGCGCGCGGAGCGGATCGGAGTAGGAGAGTCTGCCCAGCCAGGTGAGCCACGGGCCCAGCTGAGGAGTTCGGGCTGCACGGGGAGAAAAAAGATTCTCCAGGGATTATCTGCCTGTCCGAAGCAGATGGTCTAGATACGTGCCAGCCCCTTCACGCTGGCTTTAACTCTGGTCGGTGATTTTGTAAATCAAGGTCTGTTTCTGAGCTCCAAACGAAGGTGGGGCTAGAATTTTGTCAGCAGCTTTTTTGTTTGTTTGTTTGTTTGTCTTCAGAGACCCACACCAGTAATGTGAATTCATATGCATAGGTGTTTTGTTTCAGTCACTACCTTTCCTTCCGCGGGTCTCGGGGAGCGAAGCCTTGGCAGTGCTGCTCTGTGATGCTGTGTATGTAGAAGCTAGCCCCACAGACAGTCATTCATGATCCAACAAAACATAAAACTGTCCAAAGATACATCAAAAAGCATGGCTGCAGCCGGGCGTGGTGGCTCACGCCTGTAATCCCAGCAGTTTGGCGGGGCTGAGACAGGAGGATCGCAGGTGCGAAGCCATTTAGCAAGGCTCTGAGTAATTTAGTAAGACCCTGTCTCAAAATAAAGAATAAAAAGGCCTGGGAGCCAGGCGTGGCACAAGCCTGTAATCCCAGCGGCTGAGGAGGCTGGGGCTGGAGGATCATGAGTTCAAAGCCAGCCTCAGCAAACGCGAGGGGCTAAGCAGCTCAGTAGACCCTGTCTCTAAATGAAATACAAAATAGGGCTGGGGACGTGGCTCAGTGATCTAGTGCCTGTGAATTCAATCCCCAGTACCAAAAAAAAAAAGGGGGGGGGAGAGGGGCTGGGGGTGTGGTTGGGGGGTAAGCGCCCTTGGGTTTATTCCCTGGTTTTAAAGAAGAAGAAAAAAGTCTGCAGCTTTCTAAACAGTACTTTCTCCCGCACTTTTCTCCCCAAGCCAAATAAGTCTAGAAGCTGCAGCTATTGAAGAACATAACGTTGTAATGGGGTGGCAGTTCTAGTTTTATCAAAGCGCTCACACGGGCTGTTCTGTTTTAGGTCATTAGCTTCTAACTCTCTGCCCTGAGAAGCCCAGTCCTTCCTTGGTTATTCCCTGCTCCTTTGTGAAGAGAGCTCAGGGAAATACAGATGGAATGTTGGGGAGGCGCCCAAACAGAAGGGAAGGGGTTGGACTGGACGAAGCACTGGTTTAGTCCACAGACTCCAGTCCTGGTAGAAGCTAGAGTCCTTCTTTGGCCTGAGTGAATCTTCCTGAGGGTCTAACCCATCTTATGAGCATCCTAGAGCATAAAGTCCAGATACACTAAGCCTGAACTTTCCAGAAGTGCTCCAGGAAGCATAGTTACTAGATGCCACACTACCAGCAGGTTTAGCCATCCCAACCTCCTTCCAGAAGAAAACTGATACATGTGTGTAATCAAAATGCAAATTTCTGTCACTAGAAATTTTAGTGAGAGGGTGGGTGGAGTCTCCTAGAGATGCAAGTGAAAGAAAATGAAGAAATTTCAAGTTCTGGCCTCTGTTAATCCTATTTCCCTGTAACTCTAAGACAGCTCTTTATTCTCTCAATTCAAATAAATGGTGTCATCTGTACCTTGGGAAATTAGCTTAGACTCATCTAGGAGAAGTTTTCAAAATGCAAGGTGCCTGGCCTGTCTCCTCTCTATTGTTGGGGAGCATTATGGGAGGGGCTAGTGAATTTGTAGAGAGGAGTCAGATATCAGAGTTCTTCTTGGAAAAGCTTTCTGGGTGAAGAGAACAAATTCGGGAGTTCTGATTTTTCCTTTCAGCCCAGATTACCAATGTGGTACAGTGAAAAGAGCATGGGTCAACTCCCAGGATCGAAACTATTGCTCCATATATTGGCCATATTGGACAAGACATTTCCAAGTCTCCACATCCTCCTCTGTTATATGTAGATATTATTAATTTCCTTGAGGGTTGAGTGAAATAGGTGTAAAAACTCAAAGTCCTTTTGAAATGTACAATAATGGGGTCACCTTAAAACTGTCCTTGTGGAGACAACAATGTTACCACATTGAGACATTTTGAAAAGTAGTACTATCATTTGATTACTTATGGATGTGAGGCTCTTATTACTTTGCTAAAAATGCCTTGTACTCTGAGGGTATTGCCTGAGTTTTAGCTCAGAATTTGTGGAATGCCCGCTATGCCAGATGCTGTTCCTAAAGCAGTGAGCAATATTGTGTAGGCCCTGCCCTTGCAGAGATGACAGTCTGTGGGGAAAACAACAAGTCACTGATTTAAATTATTGAAGGGAGATAATAGTGATAACATAGGGTCTCCTGGGTTTAGGGTTGATTGAGAAAACAACATGTGCTTATTTGAAAGCCAGATAAATAAGAAATAATTTTTTAGCATAAGTATGTCCTAAATATTGCATGCTACATATTTATAGGAAAAAAAACTATTCATTGTTTATCTGAAATCCAGACATTGCATGAGACATGCTTTTACTGAGAGATTATTTTTTCATTTTCTGACATTCAAGTTTAATTGACATCTAGCAGTCCTTCCTGAATGCCAGAGAAACCTGTAGTAGGAGCAACTTGCCTGGCCTGGAAAAGCTTCCCAAAGCAAGTGGAGGTTGAAGAAGGAAGATGGGAAGAAGAGAGGAGTATTTGGGCCAGAGTATTCCAGGTACAGGAGCAGGGTGTGGGAGGTCCTAGGAGCAGATTCCTGGGAAATTCTATATAGGGCCTATCTGATACAGAATGACTAGAACAGAGTCAAGGAGAAGCAAAGAATTAGGGAGATAATAGCTAATACTATATAATAATATAATAATTATTATATAAAATTTATGTGCCAGGTTCTGTGTTATGCTATTTGTGTAATTGATTCAGTCTTCACAACAGCTCCAGGAGATAGCATCTACTATTATCCCCATTTATAGATGAGAAAACTGAGGCATAGAGAGGTAATTTACTCAAGGTCACACAGCTAGAAAATAAAACTGGGATTCAAAGTTAGCCTCGCTCATGATGCTATACTGATTCAGCAGCAAAGTCAGGCAGTGCCCTTATAGGCTATGTTAAATATTTTGACTTTATTTGAATCTATTCAAGAAGCCTGACAAAAGGAGAGAGATGATAAGTCTTTTGTTTAAAAGATTACTCTGTCTTGAGGAAAACTGTTTTGGAGGGCAAAGTGGAAGCCCAGTTAGATACAGCAATTCAGGCAAGAGATGATGATGGGTAAGGAGGATGGAGAAAAGGGATTAGATTCTAAGGATAGTTAGGAAATAGACAAAAAGGAAGGCTCAATGTTAATGTTAGGAGAAACCAGGGAGGACTGTGAGTCTGACTTACGCACTGGGCAAGTGAGTGGATGGTGATTAAAACAGTGAAGCCTCTATAGTTCTGGTTAAGGTCAAAGAGAAAACTGAGTGTTCCATTAGGTACCTCTTTAAAACAAAAACTCAACCAGGATTCAAGAATTAAAGGACACCTATTTAAATAATGAATATGTATGTCTATTTAAATAATGAATATGCATGTATAATTATAAGTGGTTACCTTTTATTCACAGTTGTTACTTATTTAAAACAATATCTCTAAGATTTTTATTGAATTGGTTCACTAAAATATTTGTACATTCAATATACGTTTATAGAGAGAGCTCAACTGTAATTTATAGAATCACCAAAAAAAAAAAAAAATAGTCGAGCACTGTGGCCCATGTTTAGAATCCCAGCAACTCTCTGGGCTGAGGCAGGAAGACCACAAGTTCAAGGCCCACCTTAGCAATTTAGTGAGGCCCTGTCTCAAAATAAAAAAGGAAAAGGACTGGGGATGTAGCTCAGTGGTAAAGTGCTCCTGGCTTCAATCTGCAGACCAACAACAACAACAATAACAACAAAACAGAATTAAGCAAAAGTAAACCTTGAAGGGAGTTTTTCTGACTTAGCATCCCAGTGGTAAAAAATCTGTAATTTTATTACAGGGGATGGTTTTTATGTCTTTTTCTAACTCTGAGTGTTGAATAAAACTTTATTTCTAGCTGACTTAACTTGGATATAAGTCCCCTCTTACAGTTAGTTGCCTTTAAAGCTGAGGGCTAGATTTTATATCTAGAACTCCAATCCACTGCTTCCAAAAAGGGCTCCCCTGGGTCATTTATCTAAACCCCTGAGGGTTTTTGTAGCTTTTTTCTACAAATAGAATAGAAAAGCAAAGACTGTCAGCCATCTCCCTATTTCAGGGCTAGCATGACATCTGTACCTCTTTCCCTCTATTCTCTGTTTTATAGCTTTTGCTCATTGCTAAAAGCATTGTTTACTTTTACTCATTCATTCACTTATTCCTCAAATACTTATAGTCTACTATGTACCAGGCATTTTCCTAGTTGCCAGGAATAAAGCAGAGTATTCTCTGACTTCATAAAAACTTATATTTGAGTGAGAGAAGACATAATAATAAAAAATTTAAATTAATTATTAAATAAATAACATATTTAGTATGTTAACTGATGAAAAGAACTAAAGTAAATAAAGCCATAAAGCATGAGCATTGTAGGAATTTTATTTATTTTATTTAGTGTTGGGGATGGAACTCAGGGGTGCTTTGCCACAGAGCTATATACCTAGTCCTTTTTTTTTTTTTTAAGACAGAGTTTCAATCAGTTGCCAAGAATGGCCTTGAAATTGTGATCCTCCTGCTTTAGCTTCCTGATTAGCTGGCATTACAGGCCTGCACCACTGCACCCAGCTGGGATTGTAGAAATTTTAAGTTGGGAGGTGATAAAGGAAAAGCCTCACTGAGTAGTTGACATTTGAGGAAAGGCCTGAAGGAGCTGAAGGAGTGAGTCACACATTAATCTGGGGAGAGGATTCCAGGCATGTGCAAAGCCCCTGAGGCAGGAGTGCATATGGAACAGAATAAAAGCTGAAAGTAACAAGAGATAAAAACAGAATTTCTGAAGAGATGCCCAGATTCTATAAGTAAAGTATTATTATTAAAATTCATTTCATCTGACCTTTTCCCTTTTTTTAAAATATGTAATTTCTAGTTGTTGATGGGCCTTTATTTTATTCATTTATTTATATGTGGTGCTAAGA